TTTGTCTATATTCAATAACAAATATATCCTAAGGCTTATATAAAAATCCTATGTCCTGCTGGCATGTGGCACATTCCTGTAAGTSAAGCTGGTCAGGAGGCTGAGGCAGGAGCATCATAAGTTTGAGGCTAGCTGGGGTTGTAGCTCAGTGGTAGAGTTAGRCTGTGTGAGTCCCTGGGTTCAATCCTTAGTACCAAAAGAAAAACAAGAAAACCTGTGTTCTGTTGTCCTGGCATGTCTTTTGTTCATAAAACAAGAGTCATATTCATAACTGTTCTTACTGGAATGTTGCAAGTAATTTTATTCTTAATGCCTGATTAGATTGTCTAAGAATTTTTTATTTGTGCCAACTTTATATGTACTTCCATTCTTAGGTAGCACCCTGTGCTTTCCTAGGCTATAAGATGAAATGTGGATCAGTTTGTCCTTTAGATCTGTAGAGTTTTGGTAGAGAATTAGGTTGTGCTTTTTTCTCTGCCTCCATTATAATAACAGGAAATCCAGAGTTAGGATATAAAGCTGTCAAGAGGTCTTGGAGGCTTGTGTGGTCACAGATAACTGCTGTTTTGACTTTATGAGTTAACTTGWATGTTAACATTTGTCAGTAATGTCTGAAATATTATGAGACAATAAATCTGTGACAGCTTTGTTCCACTGATTATATAGTGAGTGAAGGTACTCTGGAGAGCAGATTGGGAAGTGGCTCTTAAGGTACTGCAGTTGTAAAGGTGTCTTGTGTACATTTTTAGACCATGTGGAACTGTCTGTCTGGGAATTCCGAGTTCCTTTTTRTGGAACAAATGCCAATAAACTGTATTTTTCAGCCTTCAGGCTATGCACACAGATGACCCTCTCACTTGGGATTATGTGGCACGCCGAGAATTAGAGATCCAGTCACAACCAGGAGATGAGCAGCCTCTGACAAAACAAGCCAAAGCAGCGGAGGTGGGCCGGAGGGAGGAGAGGTGCTGTGCTGTATATGAAGAGGCAGTGAAGACTCTGCCTACAGGTAAACTTCTTTAAACCGCCMTGTGGTGTAGAAGTAACAGTATCCAAGTGTGAGCAGACACTCCCCTTCCTGTTACCAAAATTGGCATTGGAAATCTCTTTATAGTACAGTTTGCAATGTGCCTGGYTTTCCAGCTTGTTCTTTCTCTGATGGTGGAAGTTGGAGCTTTTGTATACTTCCTCTATCTTTGCAGTCTTTATGTTCATTTGTTTGGAGGAATTGATACTTAGGAAATGATAATTCAGAAGAGTCTTTAGTTATCTTTTGCTAGAGATTTAACTTCTTTTATAATATTGGAGAATAAAGTTGGTGAGGATCTAAAACCTGGATAAAGCTTTTGAATTTTATGTTTCTACTATTACTCAGATGCTTTCCCCCAGTATTTGAAATGTTTGGCTRTAATTCGAATAACTTTTTTTTTCAAYATTTTTTTTAGTTGTAGATGGACATAATATCTTTATTTTATTTATTTATTTTTGTGTGGTGCTGAGGATTGAGCCTAGTGCCTCACGTGTGCYGGGCAAGCGCTCTACCACTGAGCCACAACCTCAGCTCCCRAATAATTTTCCATTAAGCTAGTTAAAACTTTTCTTCAGAGGCTTTTTCCCTTTGAAGAAAACACATGTGATGATTGTTGAACTAAGAGAATTGGAGATCTTATCAATGTAATGTGATTTTTTTTCCCTAGAGGGTATGTGGAAATGTTACATCAATTTTTGCTTGGAAAGATTTTCTAAGAAGACGAGTAGTGAGTTCCTCAGAGGGAAGGTAAGGGCTTATATTTCATGGTTACAGTGACTGATTAGAAAGTGCCTATCTTCTATTTTTTTTTTCCTATCTTCTAAAAGAAGAACAGAAGCACAGCATTTTACGGGAGGGTCTGGGCCAGCTTTTGGAACTTCAAGCTTAACCACTTT